CTGAAGGCTGTGGAGTCCTGGGAATTGTGGTAGTTTGTCAGGTTGAGGTTGTTGAGAGAAGTTTGTAGAGGTGGGTAAACAACCCGCCGTTCCGTCAGGAAAGTTAAGAAGTTTAAAAATGTGCCACTCTTAAGAGAGAGGGAACATACGTCCCTTGAGTCCCTTGCTACACATACAGTTGCATGTGACAGAATTGATGAATTAATAGGAATTCCTTGTTGCAGAAGAGAGAAGACGAGGGAAGAGATGCAAAGACTGGTTGAATTTCCTTTTGCAGTCATTGGCATAAGCAGGCCATAGTCTTCTCTTACTTTTCCAGCCTTTGATTCTATCAGAGTAAGGCTGCGTCTGCACTGCAGAAATAAACCTGGTTGAGACCGCTTTAACTGCCACGGCTGAATGCTGTGGGATTCTGGGAATGGTAGATTGTTTGGCTGAAGTTGTTTGCAGAAGTTTGTAGAGGCGGGTAAACAACCTGCCATTCCCCTCAGGAAAGTTAAGGAGAAGTTTAAAAGTGTGCCACCCTCAAGAGATAGGGCACATCGCTTGAGTCCCTAGAGTCCCTAGAGTCCCTTGCCTTGTGTGGTTTGTATTGCGTTGTATGTATTGCATTGTATGGTTGCATACAACTGAATTGATGAATTAATAGGAATTCCTTGTTGCAGAAGCAGAGAGACAAGAGGAGAAATGCAAAGCCTCTTATCAGAGACCGGTTGAATTTCCTTTTGGAGTCATTGGCATAAGCAGGCCACAGTCTTCTCTTACTTTTCAGGCCTTTGGTGCTATTAGAATAACGCTGCATCCACACTGCAGAAATAATCCTGGGTTGACACTGCTTTAACTGTAAGGATGGTGGCAAATGTTTCTGAAGGCTGTGGGATCCTAGGAATGGTAGTTTGGCTGAGTTTGTTGACAGAGGTTTGTAGAGGCGGGCAAACAATCTGCCGTCCCCCTCAGGAAAGTTAAGAAGTTTAAAAGTGTGCCACCCTCAAGGGATAGGGCATGTGTCCCTTGAGTCCCTTGCATTGTATGGTTTGTATTGTATGTGTTGCATTGTGTGGTTGCATGTGAGTGAATTGATGAATTAATAGGAATTCCTTGTTGCAGAAGCAGGGAGACGGGGAGACATGCAAAGCTTCTTGTCAGAGACCGGTTGAATTTCCTTTTGGAGTCAGCGGTATAAGCAGGCCAAAGTCTTCTCTTGCTTTTCAGGCCTTTGGTGCTGCTAAAGTTAAGACAGAGAAAGTGCTATTGTACAGGACACAAGAGGCCAGGAGGGAGAGGCCAGATGAGTTTGCAAAAGCTATGTATTTGCCCACTGCTTGCTGCACCAAGAAGCAATTGTGTGCCAGTTATCTGAAAAGTCAATAATTTCACTTGCTTTCCTTTCTCACTGAGTCACCCAGAAGTGAGAATTAAGCCCCTGGTGGTACTTGGAAAGTGCAAGCAGCCACTTCTGTTCACCTACTTCTTCCGTCTCTTTAGGCAGGGCTGCATAGAAAGTTAGAAGAAGCTACCCCATCCTCTTACATTTTCACCTGTGCACATGCTTGCTCTCTGGATAGTGTGGTGGTGCAGACTGGGCCTTAAAAATCTCCGTCCTCCCTGTTGTGTGAGTGAGAGTGTCTGAGAGCAAGTACAGTGGTCCCTCCACATTTGCTGGGTTTAGGTGTGAATGAATGTGGAAAAACCTCAAATAAAAAATCCCACTATTCCTTTTACCTGAGAGAACACCTCTCTGGGAATCTCCAGTTCCCCCAGTGCAACTCTGTGATCAATATCTGCCAGAGGTTGATCACAGAATCACGCTGGAGGATCTACAAATGCCTAGAGAAGTGTTTTCTCTAGGAACGTCTAGGTTCTGCAGCAGAACTCTATGGTCAACTTCTGGCAGAGTTGTGCTGGAGGACCTAGAGATTCCTAGAGAGAACATATTAATCAAAACCACAAATAATCAAAGCCACCAAAGTAAAGCCGCAAATGTGGAGGGCCAACTGTAATTCTCTTGGGAGAAGGAGCTGCTGCCTCCATACTGCTACCCTGTGTTTCTTTTTATTTCTAGCCAGGATTGGGAATCTAGCAAGGATGGTGGCAAATGCCCCTGATAACTGATCTGCCTGCCATCTCTTTCTGGGAGGGTATATGTCCTCATGCATCTTCTCTTTTTGGATGGTCTACTGCTCTCCTACCCTCTCCTTGAATGGTTCAGACCCAATAATAACATTCAAAGGGAGCAAGAATATATCCTCTCTCAAAGGGCAGCATGATGGAGTGGGAATAGTGTAGGTGGGACCAATCTCCACCTCTGCAAAAGGTGCAGGTAAATAAGCAAAAGGAAGAAGGGGTGGCTACATCTTCAGTTGGTCAAACTTTTTATGCTTCAGAGCAGGGATAGGCAACCTTTTTGAGCCCTGG